ATCGCCTCTTTCCCCAACCTTAATTAACCTTATAGTTCACATTCTGGAATTCTCTTTTTATCCTTTCACTAGAGATACTATACTTTCTACAACATTTCATTGCGCATCAACCCATGGTATTATACGAACGTTTAAGTGTAGGAGAGTCATGCTTCGGCATGAATGGACCACAGCTCCACAGAAGACTGACGTAAAACAACGTTGTGTTGTGAGGTTACCGGATGCCCAACTACCCTCCCCCCCCTTTCCCCAATCCCTGAATCCCCAACAATTCTCAAATTTCTAATCCCAAAAGGCCGGTAACGCACTTGTAACGCCTCTGGTGTTCCAGGTGTCCATGGGCGACGCCGATTGCTTACCATCAGGTGATCCGTCTGCTCGTTTACCGGTTTTCCCATGAAAAAATCGTAGATGTACGCGAAACACAATATTTTTGCTATTGTGTCTTATATACCGGCAGATAAGAGGTTAATACCGAAAATCTCCCTAACAATAACTGACTCTCATCCAACTGTCGCATTACAATTTTAAATCAAAATGTCTTTGAACCCGCACTTTATTACCGAGTTATATGTAAACTTGACAATTAAAACCATCTCGCTGTTGGTGCCCACTTTCATTTTTTACTAATTAAAAATATTCGCTCGCTGCAGACTGTGGCTATCATAACTGATGATAATTTGGCACTAATTATGTGCTACAGATTACACGCCACGATCTTATATGTAATTACTACTGTTATATGTTGTTTCCTTGTGTTCGCTTTCTTTCGATCTGTTTTTAATACTTTATATTAGATTTGTGCTTTTGTTGATGGATTACTTGGAAGGCTGCGCATAATTATATTGTAATCACAGCTACAGTTTCTTTAGGTTACCTAAGCTGTGCTTGGCGTGGCAGTGGCGTGGCGACAGAATGTCGAGCAAATATTTTTAACCTAAATTAATATTTAATAATTTTTAAAAAATACGGAGTATAAATGTAAAATATTTATGGGAATACTTCCGAACCCCACGCGTGACGAAACGTTACCATAAACAACGCGTGTACTTAAAGGTTAATGAAGAAATATGTAAGTCTATAGAAATGTATATGTTATTATTCGATTTTGTCACTCAGACAAAAACGAATGGACTAATTTAGTTGAAGTTATTTCATCTTACAGATTGAGTACGGTCCGAATTGACTCAAATTATATTTTTATATATTTTTACCTTCACCGGTCATTAAGTTCATTAATCACCAAATTTTACAAAATCCCCTAACATCTTGGTTTCGACACCAACATTTTAGTAACCACCCACTTCTGTTAAACCCATCACTAGTTAATTAGTACATTTATGTAGACCATAACACCATTAGCTGAGCCAAAAACAGTACCAATTACTGTTATCATACTAACTGATGATTTGCTCAACACGTTAGCGGTCGTTTGAAGATCGGCGGCCATATTTTTAAACAGTTCTGGACTTCTGATAGTGTTTTCGAAAATGGAATGGCACTCTTAAAGTTGAATAGTTTATAGGTATAGTTATATTGGCTGTGGTATAGTGTTTTATTGCATTGTTCCATTCGTTACTGTCTTATTGTAATCAATTAATGTTAATAGTCTACGTTAATAGCCTGCCTCGTTGGCCGAGTGGTCACAAGTGCGACTGCCGAGCAAGTGGTCTCGGGTTCGATTCCCGGGACGGGCAAAGTACTAAAGGGTTGTTTAAAAAAAATTTCAGTATTAGCACGGAGTCTAGAAATGTACCAGGTATATGGCAATAGGCTCAACCCTAATTAGGGACTCATAACATAAATAGTAACAAGCGGGTGTTACTTTTGTGTGCACCTCTGCCTACCCCTTCGGAGATAAAAGGTGTGATGTTATAATGATGATAATGATAAAAGTGTACGTTTGAAAAAATCGGTTCACAAATGGCGGAGTACTGCGCGAAAAAACAAAAAAATAAAAAACAATCAGCCGAACATAGTACCTCCTCCTTTTTTGAAGTCGATAAAATAGGCGGACTGATAATGTCACTGAGAAATGATTGAAGCACCAAAATGTCAGTGGGATTTTTATGTGTGCGTTACCACGTTACCAGACTTAAGAAAATTACAGATGTCCTTCGTATCAATGTGTGTGTGTTCTGTGTGTAAGTCTAAGTAGCCAGGTGCCACAGTCATTGTCTCAAGAGACTTTGTCCTCCATTTTTCAACGTCCTTGGTTTCAGTTTATTTTCGACAATGATATAATAAATAAAGCAATCCACATCTACATACAATCCAACCCCAGTTTTCGCAGTTCGTATTGAAGAAAATGCATAAGTATATGTTCTTATAGTAAAACCTTGCAAATGCACTTTAAAGGGATTGTCTACGCAACGGACATAATAAAATAATCGATACAATCCTAGTCGCAATGAACGACATTGACCAAATTACTACTAGAGAATAAAAGTGGGTAAAGTATGTACTGGATTATATTTATTAAAAAAAACGATAATAGGAGGTTCTCAGTTCGTTCTGTATGAATCTATGTTATATAGGTGATTACCTATCTATGAATCTATGTATGTTTGTACAAAATAATGTGGAAATATGTATATGTATAATAAAAATAAATAAATAAATAAAACTGAACTTTCAGTAAAATAATATCATTATCATTTCAGTAAAATAATAAGTCTGTGGACCATGGACAATATCTCACTTCATTTTAATGTTTTAGCTTTTTTTTATTTTCTTTTTATTTTTTAAATATGTTATGTGTGTTTTCCGCAGAAATAAATGGTTTTTCTTTCTTTTCTTCCTTTCTATTCTCAAAACAGTAAAAAATAATTTATGACAGTTCAGTTCAACACCAAAAAATTAATTCAATTCAACAACAGCGACCAAAAAACACATAAGAAAACATTAACCAGTATAAAAACAAAAACATGCACATTAATCTTGTTTAGTTTTTATTTTCCAAGTCTAACGCATGTTACTCTACCGTTTGGGTGACGTAAAACTTTCAGGAAAACATCTCCCGTTGAAATTCATCCCATACATTTGTTCATACGAAAGTAGTCTCTAAACATTGGAAATAAGGTCTATAATGTAGTTAGTGGAGAGCGGTCACCGGTGACCGCTTGGGGATGTATGGGTTAAAGGTACCTAATATATTAACTTTTCTTCTAAAAAGTTCTTTCACTTTTGCTAATAAGTGTTTTCACTTTTGATAATTTTATTATGATTCATCAGTTATTTATTACGTACATTACTAGGTACAGCTACTACGAGATATTTATTTATTTATTTATTTAAAATGCTTCATGCACAAAATGTACAAAAAGGTGGACTTAATGCCGCAGGCATTTTCTACCAGTCTGACCTTTGGGTGATGCAGAGAAGAGTAAATGGTAGGTGCAAGAGGCAAGCAGTGTTTTTCTTTAACAATGAAAGATATTGTAGTATTGATTTTCAAAATCTATTTCATGACAGCGTTACACAAGGCGATAAAATTGCTAACACATATAAAAAATTATTGGTAATACTATGTCTACACTTTTTTCTCATTAAAATAATATTATCCACTATCAAGTGTAGAGAAAGCAAATAAATACATTAATGCAGAGTTCAATAACCATAATCGGTGCGCGGCTGCGCGTACGCATCCTTTGACGACACCGCCGCGCATGCGCGATAGCATTGTGTTTCGGAATTGGAGCAGAAATGATACAAGCATCGTGTCGCTCAAAACACTACTATTTATGGATTCCCACACAACGGAAATAGAGTGGAGCTGCTTATCTACCGGATGAGTAACCACGGGACTTTTTATAGCTTAGATAGAGGTGTCCTGTTTGATAACAACCCGGGGCGCATAAATCCCCAGAGGTTATCTGAAGTTTAGCGAGTATAGTACCATGTTATCAATTAATGTGGACACATTATTCGCAGATTTTTTAATTTGAAGTGCGTGTTGCATTTAATATGTTTACCAGGCAGAGGTGGTACAATAGGGATGATGACAGGGTATGAAGATTAAAAAAATAAATGTAATTAGTCCGTCAGTTAGGTAATAAAAAAATATTAGACAGTTATTTTTTTATTTTATTGTATAATAAAATGATACTTAGTTATAATGAATCAAAGTTTAGGAGTGGGGGCTAAAACGTTAATTTTACATATAAAATGTACGTAGAAGTGACGTTAGGCGACATTTCAAATCAATATATCGTCGAAAGTATTCATTTCTTTATAAAAATAAAAAATATGAGTGTAATGTTTTAAAAGAATCTACCAGATGGACATTAAAATAAAATTTAGTCATCTACCCTATTCTGTACATAACATAACGTAACATAATATATGATGTATTGATATTATCATTTCTGACAATGCGACGTCGACATCTTAATAGATATTTCACAAATATCTATTGGCAGCAGAAATAACTTATCAAGTTGTTTATTTCTACCAGAGAGACAATGATACATTAGTTCCCAGATACTAATAATATTATACGACTAGACTTCACAGCTCGTACTACGGCTACAGAGAAAATATTCATAAACATAATTATGATCTGTTGCTAATACATTTAGGAGCAAAGAAATTGGTGCACTATTTTTTCTTTTTATTTTCTTGTGTTTTTTTGCTGATACAAGTATTTATTGTTTTTATAATAACTATCGTGAGACATACTAAATGAACTAAAAGTACTCTTAACTTGACTCCACGGTTGGTTCGGTGGCTGGGAAACCGGCTGCCGTGCAACGTGTCGCGGGTTCGATTCCCGCACGGAACAACACTTTGTGTGATCCACAAATTGTTGTTTCGGATCTGGGTGTCATGTCTATGTGAACTTGTATGTTTGTAAACGCACCCACGACACAGGAGAAAATACTAATGTGGGGCAACGTTTCGTTTTTTAAAAAAAAAAAACAACTCTGCGGTGGGTGCGTTTACTACCAAGTGAAGTTATAATTTATTTACCAAAAAATAAATTAAAATTATATTCTTACCTTTTATATCCACGGAACTAAAGCAGAAGGTAGTTAGACATCAATACCTGTAACAAAAAATATTCATTTGTAAGTTTACTTATTATTATATTCTCCCACTAAACTCGCACTATACTGTCTGAAATTCTGAATAGATGCTGTGTTTGTAACCAAGGTATATCCAATAAATCCATCGTTTATCTAAAAAAAAAATACAAGTGTTGTCAAAGTGACATTTGCATATCAAAAATGATTTACGTATCAATCGACTAAAATATTGCACAATACTTTTCTAAAAAGACATTATTATATTAAAAAAAAAATAAAAAGAACAACGATTTGAATATAAAAGTTATAAGTAAATATTCAAACTTGTTTTTTATTCTAAAAATTTGCACCACGTTACGGTCAAATTACTTACTTTAAATCTACAATTGTACGAGCTGAAACACCATGTATACGAAGAAAAAATGTCGATGACAGACTGCGGAAATATTGAAAATTGCCATGCAAATCCAGGAATAAAGTTCCAACGCTACAATAAATTACAAAATTTACTAAAACTGGAACATTGTCTTCTGGCCAAAGAAACTCAGTAACAAAAATATATTCAAATTTTTACACATGACTTTCCAAAGTGATTTTCCTATTGAGATCCTCATACGATTTATTCAAGTCATTTAAGAGAAAGAGCAGGTTAGAGACTTTGAGCGAAAGTCGGTAAACGCTATCTAATCCACGATAACTGTTTACAAGGCACTTACCGCGTAAAATTTCACTTACTTGCCGATGACAATGTCAGGGATTTTACCAGCATTGTGTGAGAATTGCGGCCTTTGCAGACGAACGCGGCTAGACGCGCGATTCATCGCTGTAGTGCGACATTGACATATAACATAGCAACTGCTTGGAAAATGTCACGTGACTCAGCGATTCGACTTTGAAAAGCTTTAGTTAGCATTTATAATTGTTTATTTAAGTACTACTTTATTATATTAATTTACGACTGCATTAGAAGTATACCTACTTCACTTATGCTACTAACCTGATTTTCAACAGTTAGTTATGAATGAGTCCAAAGTCACCCTTTAGCAGAAGTTCTAACTTCTAAGGACAAAATGCAATAAACTAATTTAGTGGTAGATGTTTCTGGATAAATAAATATTTACGAGACATCAGGTGTCTGTCTGTAGGTGTCTTTACAATATATTATCTCACGTATACGGCAGATATTATCTAACAAGAGCTCCACAAATATTACCGACGTTACACCAAATCACCAAACAGAAGTTTTGTGACGTTTTACTTGCGCAAAGGCGATAGTGAACGATAAATAGTGTAAAAGATTACTCGAATATCTACTGCATTCCAAAAAAAACTATTTTTTTATACTTACTTTTACTTACCAGAGTACCTACATTGTTATGATTTATAATTTTTCGCAATACATAATACATTAAGTGTGGGAGAGCCATGCTTCGGCACTAATGGGCCGGCTCGACCGGTGTGATACCACTGCCTCACAAAAAACCGACGTGAAGCAACGCTTGCGTTGTGTTTCGTCGTGTGAATGAGGTTACTGGAGGCCCAGCTCCCTCCCCCCTTCCTCAATCTCCCCAATCTTCGAATCCCCCACAATCCTTAAACTCCTAATCCCCAAAAGTCCGGTAACGCACTTGTAACACTTCTGGTGTTCCAGGTGTCCATGGGCGACGCCGATTGCTTACCATTAGGTGATCCTTCTGCTCATATACCATAAAAAAAAATATATGTATTTATAGCTTACATTTTTGATGTAATGATCTACTATAGCCTGTGTTAACAACATGTCTTTAAAAATAAAATGGTCGTAAATTCAAATTAACTGAAAAATCATCTCGATGATTCTTGATGGCACATTCGCACACTAAAAGTAGTTTAAGCAATGACTATGCCAACTGAATCATACATTTATTTAAACGTCCACCAACAAACATTGTCCTACTGAATGAACTAAATTATGACCGGTTCCTGGTATCATCTGCCCTGTCTCCTCAATTAGTTACGGGGATTTATGACCTCTGCTTTTATTGGAATATATTACACATGCGTGATGTTATTCTGAGCATAATCATCCAGTACATTTAGAAACAGAATATTTTTCCCGCCAAAATGAGTTTGACACATTTGACATCTGTCTAAAAGTTTTGGCATTAAACCTTCTTGGTTGATCCAGTTACTTAGTACCTACATACTTATTTTAAATTTGTAAAGTACACATCTCACTGATTTAAAATAAAGAATGAATCATTTAGGAATTTAACGGATTTTAACGGTTGTCTTTGAGAAGACACTAACAAAAACGTTAGGTAATAGATAATGTATGTCTATGTACATATGTACATTATCACTATCACTACATAGTATAAAACAAAGTCGCTACCCGCCGTCTGTCTGTTCCTATGTATGCTTAGATCTTTAAAAGTAGACACCGGATTTTAATGCGGTTTTTTTAATACATAGAGTGATTCTTATGAAAGGTTTATATGTATATTGTATAATACATGCGTATCGCACCTGTGCGAAGCCGGAGCGGGTCGCTAGTTGTCTAATAGGTAAGAACTTCTTTTGTGCCATTATTGTAGTTCGTTTTAACAATATTTATCTTCGTTGAATTAAATATTTACCTAGTTTAAAATAAATACTCATTTCCAACCTACGGGTGACGGTTTAATTCGCATAAAATTAGCATAACCAAATGATCTTTTTAACGATTTGCATAAGGAAATGACTTATTTCTTTTCTTTGCTTTTGTCTTTAGCCAATTCTTATCAATTCTGTACAAATGTCACGTACAGGCAATGTAATCAGTTTTGCTTATGGTAAATTAAATCGATTATTCGCACCTCTAGTTACTTCCGACCGCATAAGAAGTAACTGGCTGCATAGAAATGTGGATTACGCATTAAAGTTTAAAATAAATACGATATCTATTCTAAATTCAAACATGGCCGCAAGGATGTTAGACAACACTGGTTTGCCGCGCAAATTAGATAACATGCTTTGATTATATAATTATAACCAAAGATAACATATTACATTATTTATAAACAGAAATAATATTTCACAGATTTTGTCAAATCTGTTTAGTAAAAACGTATTTGTACAATAATTAACATTTACTAAATATTTTTTTTTTATATACACATATTTGCACCAGTAAATGTTGTGATTACCTGTAATTGTTTGTTACACATAGGCTCATTCCTCTTTGCTTGCTTGTATTGTGCTTACTGTAGTTGTGTAATCAAATGTTGGTAACTCTTAATAAATAAATAAATAAATTGTTTTCTTCATAAAAATAGTCAAACTCGCCATAAAATAAAATGTAATAGGTACTCGATTATATTTACCTATTACGTTTTGTTTATTATCATTTTATTATGATTGAGGTCGACCGATTATTTTATTTTGATCATAAATAACATCGTTATAAGATATCATTTTAATTTAACCATGATGTTTATCAATATGTTATGTCTCTCTATAAACAATAACAACTAAGATTAGCAGAATAATACGTCATAAAAATTAACCCAAATTTCGTAAAGATGGTTGTCTTTATAACACAAATTATTACATTGTTCTCGTAACACGGTAACACTGAGAAACGTCTGACCGGCTTTTTGAATGGTTTTAAAAGTCTTCCGTCAATTGCTTACATCCTCAAACTTTGTTTTTCAACCACAAAACTTAGCTTAATTTGGATATTTTTTTATGGCATAAGCCGGTAAACGAGCAGACGGATCACCTGATGGTAAGCAATCGGCGTCGCCCATGGACACCTGGAACACCAGAGGCGTTACAAGTGCGTTACCGGCCTTTTGGGGATTAGGAGTTTGAGGATTGTTGGGGACTCTGGGATTGGGCCTCCGGTAACCTCACTCACACGACGAAACACAACGCAAGCGTTGCTTCACGTCGGTTTTCTGTGAGGCCGTGGTATCACTCCGGTCGAGCCGGCCCATTCGTGCCGAAGCATGGCTCTCCCACACTTAAAATCACGTCAAATCACTTAATATGAGTTCATTCACGGTTATCAACGATAACGTGGGACCAAAAACACTTCATTAATTTATAAATCACCTTTTTTGACCACCTTTTTTGTTACCTACCTAAAATGGGCATTACTAAACTAAACATGTCGATACCATGTAAAAGTGATGTAATAAAATCAGTCCGTCTAATTTGTATGCATAGTGCACATTTCCCGTTGTACAACTAAAGCCGAAATCGTACCTAGCCATTACATAAGACGAGACAGTGAGAAAGCGTGGCAAACTTGTCAGTTTTACGACTATCATAAGTTCATAACTAGCATTTGTTGTTGATACGGAAATACGTGTTTAGTTTACTTATATATATTTTGTTGTTTAAATGCGGGCTGAGGCCTTAGTACAAGTTTGTTTCACATTTAAACTAATCGAAACGAGTACGTGTTCGGCGCTCTGATTGGCCGGTTCCAATGAACTAACCAATCGGAGCGGCGAAGGCAGTCTCGTTTCGATTACTTTTAACGTAAAACAAACTCGTACTAAGGCCTCTTTTGACAGAAGACGTGGTACGAATTATCGAGTTAGGGAATGTATTTTATAACTAAGGGACATTTACCTGGTTGTGGTTTTAATGGGACGCAAATTAGGTGCCAATTTACCAATGCATTTTCAATTATGTGTAATAGTAAATAAGACTAAAATACATTTATGTATGAATGTGTAATTAAATATAACGTGATGTAACGTCTTTTGCTCCCAGATGGGGTAAGTAAAAATGTATGACTAAGTGAACTTTCTTTACATGCCATTTTGTCTAGGCTCTAGACGGACAGGTAGGTATATATGAATACTAGTTAAATCCAGTCCTAAACTCAAACTCAAACTCAAAACCATTTATTTCAAATAAACCATAATTTGGTACTTTTGAAACGTCAACAAATATGAAATAAATAATAGTCTGTCCATCAGTGAAGCTAGGCGCTCGTTCCAAACTGTCGATTCGAGTGGAGAAGAACGAGCAAGAAACTCCATTC